GCATTGTTTTCGTCATTTCTTCCTGTCGAAGGACGCCCGGGGATGGCATGTCTTCTGTTGACATGTTGCCAGATTTGAAACGGGAAAACCACTCGTAGACCTGTGATTTCCCCAAAGCATCATCATTAAAGGCTTGCCGAAGCATCCCAACAGTCTCGGCTGCAGTTTTCCCTAACAGAAAGCAAAATTTCATGCACACTCTTTGTTCCTTCTGGTCGGCCATCTCACTAATCGCCAAAGGGTTGAAACAGGAATGCACACAACAGAGCACCACAGACAAACCACTTAACTCAGACTGACGCCAGCTCACTAACAGTCGCAGGAGACCCCCCAGCTAACACCACCTAGCAGCACAACTCGTAACTACAAAGCATGCGCGGGCAACAGGTCGTTTCCGGTTATTTTTGGGTTCCCCTTCGTATAGTCTGATATTAATACTTAAATGTGTTTTCCACTACATTTTTCAGTGTATGACTGTCAAAACCGTATGTTTTATTGATGACTGGTTCAGTATTCATGATTTTATTATACATTTTAATGTTGATATTATAACTGCCATTTAGTAAATTTTGCAGTGATGGGTTAATATGTAGCATGAATTTCAATTATGAGTTCATCAGTTATTCACTAAAGTTCACTCATGGCTAGACCACTGAATTAAGTATCACACACTGTACATTTAATAAAATAAATATTAGTTCACTCTGTGGCAATTCAATACCTTATAATAAAAACATACACTATGATGTCTCTCTTACTGCTATTTCATACTGAAACTGCCTATGTATGACATGAAAACTTTTATGCTACAATGTATTTTCCACTTACTTCACATTCCTTAACAATAATTATAATTTATACCAGATAGTATATGTATTCCATGTACTCCAATCGAGTAATAATGTAAGTTGTCCAGGCTATCAGTTCCACTCTCAACCCAATATAAACTTCACTGAAATTTTCATTTCGTGCATCCTGTTGTGTTATAATATACAATTTCTTTATTAAAATCTGTCACAACACAACAATATCAAGGTCAAAGCCAAGACTGGCTCGGCTACATGTTTCGGCTATTAACTCTTTGACTGGCGCGGGCGTGTTTTAACGCCAGGGCGATGCCAGCCGTTCCCTGGCGTTGGCGTGTTTTAACGCTTTGAAAATCTCTTCCCTTATTTGCTCTCTTGGCTCTCTTCAACCAAAGACATATATATGATAGTTTTTGTGCATGGTTGTAAAGAACCCTTGTAAACTTTGTGGGGGTCTATATTACTGTCAGAACCCTGCGAGAAGGAAAAGTTCAAAAACTATTTCACATTCATTCAGTTTCACCATGGCTTCTCGCAGCAAGTGTCGGCATGTTCCTACAGACCAGCTGGAAAGTGTTGTGAAGGAGATTTGTGCTGATGATGATAGTGGCGATGAAATAATGATTCCTGAATTGAATGAAGTTGATAGTGACAATAGTACAGTGATAGACAATGATCCACAAGACAGTAATCATGAACATTTAGCTACCACGAGTGCGGTGCCTGACACGCCCATCTCATGGACGTACGGAGACATTGTACCAGTAATAGTTCCATTTACTAGTAGTTCCGGGATCAAAATTGATATAACACATAAAATGCACCCCTTTTCATGGATAAAATTTTTTCTGGATGATGACTTAGTAACTCACATTACAACTGAAACCAATCGCTATGCTCACCAGCACTTCAACACACATGAGTTAGCTCCTCACTCTCGAGAACTCAATTACAAATATGTCACATCAGATGAAATCTGGACATATTTAGGAATTGTGTTCATGACAGGAATCGACAAACGCCCTGAAATTGAAGACTATTGGTCCACTAGGCCCCTATTTCACACTCCATGGTATGGACAAAAGATGTCTTTGCGGCGGTTCCAACAGATTTCAAAATTTCTTCATTTTGCTGACAACGATGCACGACCAGCTGACTGTGAAGATCGCCTGTATAAAGTTAGGCCAATTATAGACTCATTAGTGGGAAAATTTAGGAACACATATATCCCTGAAAAGGAAATTGCAATAGATGAAGGAATGATCGCTTGGAAAGGACGTCTTATCTTCCGAGTATATATGCCTGATAAACCTGATAAGTACGGTATAAAGGCTTATCTTGTTTGTGAATCGACAAGTGGATATATTTGGAATTTTGAAATTTATTGCGGAAAATCAAGGCCTATAAAAGAATTAGTTGTCGATCTGTTGGGGCCACAGCTTCTAGATAAAGGGTATCATCTCTACCAGGATAACTATTACAATAGTGTAGAATTATGTGAGACGTTATTACAGAGAAATACCTATGTGTGTGGAACCTTCAGAATGGACAGAGGAGCTCCCAAAGAACTAAAGAATGATGTAAAAAAATTGAAAAAAGGGGAATCTGTGTTTTCTAGGAAGGGGCAGGTTCTCGTACAGGTGTGGAGAGATAAAAGAGACGTCAAACTTATCTCCACTCTTCACACAGCAAAAATCGTGGAATCTGCAAAAACGAATCGCAAAGGAGAAAAAATATGCAGACCCGAGGTAATTGGGGACTACAATAAACATATGAGAGGGGTTGACAGGGCCGATCAAATGCTGCATTATTATCCTTGCTCCCGCAAAACTGTAAAGTGGACAAAGAAACTGGTGTTTTTCTTGTTGCAAATGGCAGCGTTGAATAGTTTCATTCTATTCAAAAAGTACACAACAACAGAAAAATACAAGAAGAGAAATTACAAATTCAAAGATTTTATATTGGACTGTGTAGAAAAAATGACAGAACAAAACAAACAGTGTGGAGAGGGAGAACAGTCAAGGAATGAAGTGGATGACGAATCTATTGCGTCAGACTCGAGTGCAGTCACGCCTCCGCCCGCGACCTTGAGAAGACCACCAGTGAAAGACCCAGAAAATCGTCTAGAGGGTGGCTTGAAAGTTCACAAAATGGTCCATGTTCCTCCCAGTAACAATAAGAAGAATGGTGCCATGAGAAAGTGTCGAGTGTGTGCTAAGCATAAGATTAGAAAAGAAACAAGTGTCATGTGTGCAAGCTGTGGTGTGGCTCTCTGCAAACTTTCATGTTTCAATGTTTATCACACGATGAAAAACTATTAAAAGGGTATGGAAAGACATTTATTGCATAAAATATTGTATTTTTAATAGTTCCTGAAAATTTCATTTTTAAAAACCAATTTTTGTTGAAGTTGTTTAGAAAAAAGTAAGCACATGCATCTTAGCGACATAATGTTTAAAAGGCCTGCCAGGACAGGGGTGGGATTTAAATACCCTTCACGCCAGTCAAAGAGTTAAAGCCATCATCAGGCAAATACATGATTAACATATTAACACCACTGAACTGCAGTTGCGATAGTGAAGCTGGATACTTGATAATTATTACATTATAAAATGTAGCTGCAGTTGCAGTTTATATTCCCTACAGAACGGACAAATACATTGTAAGACGAGGCACCGGCTAAACAATTAAGGTCAATACTATACTACATCCATACCACAGGCCTCCAAAGCAGTTTATTACATGTACACAAAATCTAGAATATAGCATTATGTCCGCGGGAATATAACAAAATTGCAGCAACCAACAAATGACTTGATGATGTAAAATATCACATGAAGAGTCTTAACTTTGTTTTACCCTATGACTTTCATTTTTATATAGTCTTGTTCATTGTACTTTTATGCCAAGAACGAGGGGGTACCCAAAAGAAACCGAACTTATTTTTTTTTAAACTTATTTATTCAAATTTTAAGCACAAACCTTCAATCCCCTTCAAAGTACTCTCCACTTACACTAATACACTTGTCTAGTCTTTTATTCCATTTTTCAAAACATTGTCTAAATTCATCTTTT